GATTAAATTAATATTATTTATCATTTAAATGTACACGTATTTTCATAATATTTATCAAGTTATATGTTTCTTTAAAATATAGTAGAAAATAAAGCAATAATCAGTAGAAAGTTACATACTTAAGTAACTCATATATTTTTGGAGATTCATGAACACATATCAATATTTACAATAACTAAAATATTTTATAAATTCTAAATAGTTTTATATCTTAGATTTATTGAATGATAAACTGAAATTATTTTAAATAATCTTAAAATGAGAATTCGGATTTGCTTTGGTATTTTTATTATAGTTATATTAAGTTACACAAACATAAATTTTTTTTAAAAAAATTAAAATTAAGAAACATATAATTTAAATAATGATAGAATATATAGTGGTATGATATTTTAAAATATTTTGTAATTATTTGATTAAAAGATGTTTATTGTTGAAAAAGATTTTAATTTCTCTTAAAATTAAGCAGTAAAAATTGTGGTTGTATTTGAGAAATCATATTATATAAGTAAAATTTAATTTATAGATATTTTTTTTTTGCTTTAGTTGAAAGATACTATAGTCAACTAAATATATGAAAATAAATAAAATATTCAATAATTTTAATTAAAACTATTTTAGTTAATAAAAACATATACTTGTTTATGTTACTTAAAATTATGTTTAAAAGTAATTTTTTTTTTCAAATATCAAAATTATATGTGTGAATTTTTGTTATGAAATCACATTATATAAAAATATATTTTTCATATATGAAAATACAGATATAAAGAAAGTATTTTCTTTATTAAAAAAGTACATTTTGTTATTTAAAATATTTTTAATGGATGTTACTATTTTGTTAATCTTCCCTTTTAATGAAACCATATTATATAACATATATTTTCGTTTTTTAATTTTTCCTTTTAAATTTTATTGATGTTTTTTTCTATTATAAATCTTAGTTGGAAATTTTAAAAAGAAAACTAAATACAAAATTAATAATACTATTTTAATATTTTGATAGTATATTAATATTTTGTGAATTTTCCTTTTTAATGAAATCATATTATATAAACATATATTTTCGTTTTTAAATTTAATAATTTTTTTCCTTTTTATTTTAAAAGTTATTTGGAATGTTTTAAAAATGAAACTAAACATAAAATTAATAATATTATTTAAATATACTATTTAAATATATTCATCAAGGGTATCATAGTAATCAACCGGTGTAAGAGTCAACGTGAGCGCGCCATAGGAAAGTGACTTGCAAATAATATTATAGAGATTTGAAGTTAGTTACAGTCCATGGACTTGAAGGCCGAAAAACAACCCAACATAAATAAAAGCCCACAAACGTAGTCACCTTCTTCTCAAAACCAACTGCTGGCTAAACCCTAATTATCAACAGAGGTGACAAGCCTCACCTTACGTTTCTCTGACCTAAAAAATGGCTACTCCGTTGGAGTCTCTTCTCTCCATTGGCCCCTCGGTCTCCACAAACTCCACTCCACACCGCGTCCGGATCTTCCGCGATGAAATCCCTCAGATCCTCCAGAATTTCGGTAAATCATTTCCTCTCTTAATCAGTAAAATAGTTATTTGAGGTATCGTCAAATCATTAAACTGTATTAGATGGACCAATTCGTCAGATTGTATACATTGAGCTAAGATCTTGATCCTGATCTAGTAGATTATACTTATTTAATTAATTAATTAATTATAACCATGCGTCTGTGGTCAAGGCGTTCCGTGGATCCCTAAGTAACCAATGAGTTCGAATCCGCACTTTTCCACTGGTGGCTGGGCTTTCACATTCTCTCTAGGCAGAATGGTTTACCATTTTTTTTAATTAATGAATTATTTTATCTGCAGATATGTCTTCTGAGATTGCACCTGTTTTGGTTGACACAATATTCCAAACACTGGCTTTATACGATGACCGTTGCTCACGCAAAGCTGTTGACGATTTAATTGTAAAGGGATTGGGAAATGTTGCCTTTATGAAAGCCTTTGCAGCCATGCTTGTACAAGTTATGGAGAAGGAGATGAAATTTAGTTTCAACACCGTCTGTTACCGATTACTAGCGTGGTCATGTCTTCTTCTGGAGAAGAGTCAGTTTGCTACCGTTTCGAGGAATGGTTTTGTTAGGGTAGCTTCAGCACAGGCTTCGTTGCTTAGAGTTGTTATGGAGAG